AACAATCCAGCAGTTAGTAGTTGTAAACCTGAGACTGTGAGGAAACTCTTTACTGTCGCAGGACTTTTGACTTTGCTGTGTTTTCTTCGTAGGGCCTCGGTATGTCCGGTGGAAGTCAGGCTGGCTTGGGGACTCCTTCATCCAGGCAGTATGCACGACAGAAAATAACTCGCGTAAACCTCAGGGACTTCATCTTCTACATGGAACAGGAAAGAGAAACGAGCCATTCTCTCCTGCTCTATCGAGCTCTGCTTAAATAAAGCCAAGAATTGTACTGATTTCTCCATACAGAAGCTCAACTTGCATTGAAAAGCTGTCATTTTAATGTGCCTTCTATTTTTTTCAGAAGTCAATGTTCCAGTAATTTTGTTTTGTAGAATTGTCAGACACATGCAATAAATTCCCTTTATGTAACAAAAAAATTATAAAAAACACACAAAAAAATGTGCAAAAGGTTTTAAAATGTTAAATCCACAGATACAACCAACATCAAAGTCTTGCTCCATTTGGCCATTTCAGACAGGGCTGAAGTAGATGGCGTTGAAGTTACGCGAATGGAGAGGCTGCTGCAATGGCTCACCTAAACCATCGCACGGCACGGAGGATGGGGACAGGGTCACAGGATTGGGACCTAACCATGGTGTTAACCTGTATGTTCACTTACGGTGCTGATTTTGTTTTCTTTTTAGTTTTACTAGCACTGTTTCCACTGACTAACCGTGGTGATGCCTGTTGTTATTTTAGATTAGTTATAATTGCAATTTTTTGCACAGCTAAGAGAATAGCCACTGCACACTCTCACAAATTTTATATATTTAGGATTTTTGCTTTTACTGCACAGCTCATTTCCTGAGCCCTTTGCTGAACCAAATCCTAAGTGTATGAAATCTGTGCGTTCAGGTCCCAGCTGAGTTGCCTTGACTGGCTTCCAGTTCTAAGTCTCTTCAACCTTTTGCACATTTGTAGCAGCTGGTTAGTAACATGAATCAAAGTTGGGTTTTATTTTCTAAAAAATATCTTAATTTATTTATTGCAAAGAGTATGGTTTAATGGTGGGTTTAAAAGAGAGTATTGTTCAGTAAAGATTTTAGAGTATTCTATATGGATTTTTAAAGCCAGTGTAAAGGAATTTTTTGGGGGCCGGTTCCACTCGTGGAGAACGGCGAGAGCCGGGGTGAGCCCTGGCAGCCCACTGCCGCCGCGGTCAGGGCAGCGCCGCAGGGGCTGGCGATGCCTTTGCCTTGGACGATTGGACCCGAGGACTCCAGTCCGGAGAGGCTCATGAACAAGCGCGTGACTTTAAGCATAATGAGTAGTTTTAAGTATTTCAAGGTGGGACGAATGCTTTTTAAATGCTTTGCTGAATTGGAATTTAAGGGGCCTGCACCAAAGCCAAGCGAAGTCAGTGTGAGTCTTTTAAATGGGTATCGGATAGGAATACTAAGCAGGCAGGTGGGCACGAGTTGTACTTCAAACAGAACAGTATTATCAGTAACCATGGAAGGGAGACATTTGCTTATTTATTTTTTTCAATTTTTACTATGTTACGCTTGCCACTTTTTTGAGGCAATACTTTTTTTTTGATGGGAAACCATAGCGAAAGCACAAATAGAACTATTTGTCCAATAGTTTTAAAAACAAAAGTTTTAATTATTTTTTAAGGTTTATGAAAAGCAGAAGAAAATTTATACTGCTGCTATTTAGCCAAAAGATTATTCATAAGGTATTTAAGGCCAGGAAGTGTAAAATTATGTTTTAAATGTATTGATAATTTGTACATATTGTTTATAAAGGCCTTGTGTTTATTAGAATTACGTTATTTTGATGATTTCTGTACATACTCGTAAATACCCCCAATTTGTGTGAAAACATACTCCCTTATTTGTACTTATTTTGTAAAGAAATAAAACAATTTACTAAAGTAACACATCGAGTGACATACAGTATTAATTTATCAAACATGAATTTCACATTGTCTTGTAGTTCTTACGCACTGTTCAGAAACATTTTGCATTAAAATATTAACAGAATACCCACAAAGAAATATTAAAACCAAATACTTCAATGTTTTGTTGTGCTGATTCTTATCCTTTGTCAAACATCTAATAAAATTGTCAACAAACCTCGATGCTATTAATACAGTGAATGAATGCACTCAACAGTTGCTTTCTCAAAAGCGATTAGTCCAATAAGCACAACATAACATTCTCTCTTTTGCTTTCTTTCCGAGACTTGGGAGCACAGTGGTGTAACAGGGTTGTACAGAAAGTGCTAGTGAAGACTCGTGTTCAAGCCACAGTTTCAGTGCTCAGCAAAAGAGAATTGGAACAATTTTGTTCAATTGAATTAGGCAAAAAACCAGGCTACATTTACTTTTTGGCCTTCATAATAAAGACATTTGCTGGCTGCACACCACAGCTTTACTGGAGCTTCTGTGATATTTTAAAACCTGTTTTAGCCACGCTGAGCAATGTTCTTAATTAAGTTATGTTGCTATGGTTTAAGGCCAGAAGTAAAAATTCAAATCAGTTTTTGCTGATATTGCTGCCTAAAAATATAGGGAAATAAGTAAAAAAGATATAAATGAAACTGTAATAAACTTTAAATAAGTGACCTGAAGTTACTAACTAAAAGAACATGTCCTAGCTTAACTTTTTTTTTTAAAGGCATACTTCTTCTAACAAAGTGATTGTTTCCACATGTCTTCCTTGCCTTAGTGCTATTTTGCAGTCACTGTTGTGATGTCATGGCTCAAACTTTCCATCTCAAGTTCATATTTAACTCGGCTGGCGCAGCCTGGAACCCTTTACGATGCCACCTTAGCAAGCTGCCCTAAGTACCGGAGCTGCTTTATTGAGCTATAAAAAAAATACGGTAAACACCAAACTGAAGAAAAACAAACCAACCAACCACAAATACTTTCAATAGCATTCTACGTACATCGAAAAGCATCATCCTGCTCCCAGGCTTGTAAGAGCTGCCTGCCCGCGCCTTCGGCAGGCGCTCGGCGCTCGGCGGGTACGCGGCGTCTGGTCCCACGTGCAGACGCTGACCTCGGGAGAGGCTTGGCCTGAGTACGAGTGGCAGAACTGGGCCCATGTTTAAATGTAAACGTGAGGCGTTGGCCCTTCTCCCCTGGCTGAGAGGTAACGAACAGAGAGGATGCGCCGACAGACGGGCACCCAGCCGCTGCTAGTGCCAACTCTCCCTGGCAGAAGTGTATATAGGTAAAAACACAAAGCTAACGGATTTTTAAGGATTATTTGAACTTAAAGTGAACTCAATGTCTCAAAGTAATAAATAAAACACTTTTTTTTTTCTTTTTGTAAGACATGGCTACATCAAGCTGAACGGAGCAAAAGGCCGGAGAAGACGCAATCAAAAGTTCTCACCTCTTTCAAACGACATGGGAGATACAGTGAGTGTTCCACCCTACTTGCTTGTTTTTGATCATTTACTTTACAGAAATGTTTATGGCATGAAGTACTGTATAAGAAATGTGCATACACAAATACATGACAATTATACGTTAAGTTCTTTACAATATTAAATGTATAATATACAATTCTACAGATATCTTACATACAAAGGTGAATGTTGTGCCATATATTCAAATATGGCAATGCCTAGCAACTTCAGAATGTTGTACAAGTATAAAACCACAAAATAAAATAACTTTACAACTCTTTTAAAGTAGACAGATTTGCTCAACTGTTCTGCTAAGTTAACAGGCCAATACATATCGGCCAAGATTTCCAGAAGAGATTTCCGAGTTGAGTAACCAAGGTGAGAAAACCTGAGAGGTCTGATTTTCCACAGACAGGTGTCCAGCCCTTTTCCAAAATTAGACCCCTGCCTAGACTGTACCTTGGATATTCAGTACAGCTCATCGCTTTTGAGAATATTAGTCTTAAAACATGATTTTTTAATTTTGTCTGATTGTAATCATTTGGCATTAAAGAACTGTTGACCATTTAATACTCTGTCCCTTGTTCTATATGGCCGTATTTATGCATCTAAAAAGAGTTTAATTAAAATTCAGCATCTACAACAGTATTCTATAAATTAATGTGGGAGAAACTAAATTGTGATTAACACATGAATCATGCTAAACAGCAATAAACAGGATTTAGCAGAATGCTATTTATAACCTTGCACCTGCAAACATGGTGCTGTCTCCTGAGTTAGGAAGCCCTGCAAGTCAGAGCTGATACTGATTCATGGAAGGAGCAGTAACCTCCTGCAGACAGCGGGCTTTGTTAAAGAGAAAATTACACAGATAGAGGGCAGCTACAGAATCAGTATTTTAATAATAGTTTAAAATAATAGAGGAAAAACAATCTAAACAAAAGGTGGCCTGCTTTCATTGGACAATGGCAGTAGAGGATTTAACATCTTTTTGCAAAAATTCCAGACCCATAAAGGGTAGGCTTGTCCAAAATTCTTAATGTTTCCTCCTAAATGGGGGCTTATAACATCGTTAGTAAATGAGTAACAAGGGGTGGCAGAGCTTGCTTGGCAGAACCACGCTTCTTTGATGAGGCAAAACTTAACAGTTTCCGAGTCAAAACAAGACTGGCTTTAAGAGAACGACAGCTCCGCGTTAGGTATGTGACCCTTGTGTGATGGCGGATGGCATTTTATTTTGTGCTTCCAGATCCCTACTTTTACAAATATTGCCATAATCGGCCTTGTCAATTTTTTTTGTCGCTTTTTTGTTTCATTTGTGTGGGTTTTTTTAGTACTGAGCACCAGTTGACTATAAATCTGTCCTTTTCTGATTCTGGATTCTGTCCACAGAGAGATACTTCAGTTGGAAATGTTGTATAAAAATAAGCCATTTGCTAGCATGAGTGAGTACAATCACGGAAGTGTAACGTAATGTATGGAGGTGTAAAGCACGTCTGATATGAAGGAGATGTGGCAGTCAGGGAGGATACTCAGTGCAGTTTTTAGTGGACCATCTTCCTCTCGGAGGTGCCCACTTCCACGCGTCACAGCATCGGGGTATCATTGGAAAGGCTGTCAGAACCGTTTCTCCTGCTGATCTATTCAAATTGCTTTAATTGGTCTTTCTGCAGAAGTCCAATCTAGGGTCAGGGGTTTATGAAGCTTTGCCTTTTTCACCACCACAGCTGTTCAGCCCAAAGTACACTGCCAGCAGGGCTGGTATGCTGAGCATGCTCAGGAATTTCATCGTGAAAAACGGACAACTGGTTTTTCAAATACATTTCATGGCTGGCTATGTGACAGGTAGTTTCAGAATACCACTAATTGGCAACATAAAGTCAAAATCTGTTTGCTAATACTGTTTTGCAAATCCTTAGTATTTCACATAAGGGACTATTAAACACTTCTACGGTTACAAAGGAGTACGGGTAGAGTCTAGTCCAGGGGCTCCTGTTTTATTCTGATTGTTGGGGTAGGTTGTGGTCGTCTGTCTTCGCGACACAGCACGTATTCACTGAACTGAGAGGAATCCACCCCACCACCGCATGAAGCTGCGACGTTAAATCCCTTCTGAAATAATCTTTCGAGCACCTGCAATGTGGGGAAAAAATCAGATTAATATTTAGCAAATTTTAGTGATAAAAACATTCAGGAGCACTGCATCTAACTGATGGATTTAGTCTTTCGAGTCCTCGTTGAATGAATATTATTCAGCTATAATTCTGTAACTTATTCTTAAATGACTACACTGTGATTAAAGTCTCGCTCTCAGCAAACCTCTGTAGAAAACAAAAATTAATCAAACAAATAAGCACTCTGCAGAGCAGCTTAGTACATTATATAGTAAAATACTGGACTGTGGTGATATTGATGCTATCTCACTGCTTATAGAAAGCAACATCAGGTTTAAGTCATAATCAAAAGTGCCCATTATTCAGTAGTAGCATGAACAGTCTTACAGAAAGGGGCTGAAAACATTTCTCAGCTCTTCCTTGGCAGATGAAATGTATTAGGAGCCTGAGTGACACTTCCAGCAGATCTTCACGGAAATCGCAGCTGTGATTTTCCCTCGCTGGAAGGGAGCACTGCTTTTAGCAAAGCATGGCAGGGCTGGGATGCGGAGCCAAGACGTGGACAATAAGGAAACGTTCTGGCCCAAGAAAGAGGTTAATTTGTATTGCCCAAATATGTATTTTCTCTTTCTCCTTTTAAAGAAAAGTTGGTGCAATTTAGATGCATGAATTTAAGGAACCCAGAGGCAACTTTAATTTCTGAGACTGTCACACAGCACATTACCCTAGGATATACTGATCTTGGCAATAGGATAGAGGCCATGTTTTCACATGGGTGAACATGTTGATATACAGTTTCCCAGCAGAGCAGGACACACACGGACTTTTCTCAGCATTAGGTGAGAATGGATGCCAGATCCACCCTTGGCAGATCTGCAATGTAAGATCCACCGGAGGAGATGCCGTGCTCCCTCCCTCCCGCTGGCGGCTCTCCTGAGTCCTGGGCAGTAGCCTGGAAAAATGGTTCCTGTGTTTTTCTCTACTGAGAAATGCCATCAAGGGGCAGCAGCCTGTACTGTCCTGTAACAGCCTGGCCCAAGGTACCACTTCCATTGCTACAGCACATGGGCCCACTGCACTGGGAAGTGAACCTGATGATTTACTAAACCTCATGAACTTAGTAACACCAGCATCTTCATCTAACAGCCATCTGCCACCCACAGCGACACGGACTAAGCTATTTAAAAACTTGTTCACTCAACCTATAGAAGTGTCTAAGCAATACACCCAACTTCAGACGGAGTCAACTTGTATGCTCTCACAGGTTTACGTTATAGAAAGAATTTGCTTTCTTTTTTGGTTTTACTAGCCCTGTGAAGCACTTCAGCAGTTACACCTACTGCAATAGTACGTAAAAGTCTTATGTTTCAAGGCCCAAGCTGACTATGTTAAAGATCTGCACACCAGACCTCTGCCCTTGCCTTCGCACACAGACCCACGTGAGGCCAAGGTGCATTTCTTAGTGCACTGCTGCTTCTGACTGAATGTTGGCGTTGCTTTCTCCAGAAACATCAGTTTGGAGCCCTTATTAAAAGTAACTGATTTCAAAAGCACAACTGTATCCAAGGTGGTATCATAGCACAATGCAAACCATGGCAGCATTTGCTGGTTTTAATCCATGGGAACCCTCCTTTGAGGTTGCCTGTGTTAGCCATCTGCGTTTTAATCCGCGGTTTGGGTTTCTAGTGGTAACTAAAATCTTGTACTTGCTACTCTGGCTGCTAAAGGCAGGCGAAGGAAAGGAGCTGCTCTCGCACAGCTTTGCCTAAGCCATGCAGAATCTGCTGGAAATCAGCTTGCCTGAGGAGCTCTGCCTGGCCTTGGGACACAGGGACTTACGTTCTCAGAAAGTCGCCTCTGCCAAATCTCACTGACTTTTGCCCTGATTTTTATATACTTCATACCGTAAGAAAGTTGTAGAACTGAAAGATTGAAAAAGCACCCCAGTGTATGGAAGAGAAATAAACCTGGAGAGATTAAAAGAAGTGGGGAGGAGAGTGGGTTATCAAAATATATGAGAGAGAGAGGGAGAGAGAGAGAGAAAGCTTACAACTCTCTTATTTGTCCGGGCTGTACGCAGCCTGTAGGACAGAAATGGGGTGCAGACACTAGCGCCTGTGCCTGCTCAAAGAGGAAGGCAAGAGTTTGAGAGGGAAGGAGGAATAAGTCATCATTAGATGGCTGTTTCACAGGCTGGAGTGTATTTTGACTGTTTTGTGCATTCCTGTTCCTAGACCTGGCAAGATGAAGACAAGAGGCAACCCAGCTACAGGAAAGGAGGCTTCTTCCATTTAACTGGATAGCGAAACAGAGGATTGACAGGTAAGATTTCAGAGAGAGACATGACTTCAAAATCCTTGCTAAAAACTTTTTAAAATCAATCTGCTTGTAAGACAAAACAAGCACGGGGGTGCCCTTGGCTTGCCTCGGTCCAAAGCTATGGAAGGCTGCATGTTAACATAGGACTTTTCTTCACCGAGCCAGCTCTCTGCAAACACACAATCCAGGTAGACATTACACCTTAGAGCACCGCACGCAGAACAAAGCGATTCATTTTTGCTACCTACGCGCTCGAAGGACTAGACTGCAGGCTATAATCTGGTGTTAAAAACCTTGGTATCATCAATTTTCTCAGCAAGAAGCAAACCAGGCCAAATCCTGTAAACAATGCAGAGAATGTTTAAATATGGTAGAGTTTTAAGTGTAACTTGGATGAGGTTGAGCTCAGGTCTATGGAGAAAAGCTCCTGAAGGCTTCTTCCGTGTGCGCTGAGCACTGGTTTGTATGCGCCCGTGCGTGCACAAGACTAAACGGCATGTTGAACATGAACAGATTTAAATGCCATTTAGTGAATTTGGCTCTATGTGCATTACTTTTTCTGAAGGTAAGATACAGACAGAGGGAAACCAGTAAGCATCTCTGAATCAAATCAGAGCTACTTTCCTGTAAATCTCCAAAGAGAATATGCCAAAAAGTAAATGAGTATCAGCTGTGATTCTCCTACGTATAGGAAGACACACACACAATATTAAATAGAGGATTTGTGCTAGGATTTAATATACTCTGTCTTCCAGTATTCTGAGCACATCTGATTTTGTCAGAAGGTTTTCCAAATAGAAATATGATACTTTCACTTACTGCATTTGATTTAAATTTTGCAGAATACTAACGAATACTTTCTTAATTATGAAGACTTGATGTTCAACACATACAAGCATCACAGAATTCTCTCTAAGGTAAGCTCATGTGGTAAGCTCATGTATCTCACCAGAACCTGTTGCGAGAAGTTGAAAAAACAGTGTCAGTCTTAAGAAAACTCTATACCTATATGTAATTACAAATGGGCATTAAATTAAGAGCTACTGAGCTACTGTATTTTTTTGGCTGCCACTACCTACTCAATGTTGACGTTCTTTGTTTTATATGCAGAGTTCTTGACACAAAACATTTAATGAAAGTATTTTCCAAAGATCCGAAGAATTTATAAGTATTTGCAGTTGTGCTACCAAATACATTCAGCAGGGCACAAGGAGACAAAAGTGATGTATCTCAGCAAACAGCAGGCAGACTTACCATGTCCCTCTTTGAGATTCTTTGGAAACGATTCTGCTCTTCCAACCACTACCCCTTCTAACCCATCTCCCTTAACTCTGTGCATTTACTTCACTGTACTTCCAACTTCTGATGTAATATTGTTTTGCCAAAAGAATCCTGGGAAGGGGAAGGGCAGTGCCTATGCGCTGACCAGAGTCCATCAGAGCCAATGATAATTAGCTGCTGATTTCATCAGCCTTTGGTCTCAGAAATGCATCATTTTCCAGAAAGTGTTTGAAAACGCTTTCTATTAATTATATAGTAAAATGATGTAATTTAGTAAAATGATGTAATTTAATAATATTATTTAGACTGTAGACTCTCTTTTCACAACACAAACCTGCAAAGAGACTCTTTGATTCGGTCTGAATTTTGACTGAATTCAAAACACATTCAAATAATCATAATAATAATTAGCATTCAGCTTTTACTACAAGCACACGTTTCCTACCAGTATGCCACTTTGGATAAAATAGAGCCAAGTGCTAAGCCATGTGGGCATCCAGCGCTTTGGCTGCTTGCAGTGTTGAGCCTGGCAGTGGCTCACAGTGACCCTTTATTGTTTCAGTTATTCTAATTTCTTGCATGCATGTAACTGTATCGCATGGACAGTGTGGCTGAGACACGAACACGCTTCCCTATGCACTTACCTTAGCTAAACTGCAGCTGCTCCCCTCTCCACCCAGCACAGCGATGAATTCATCACAGTTCCCACTGCCAGCAAACGGATCTGCCTCTGACCCACCTCCAGCCTTCTAGTTTTGGGGCAGCCCATTCTAAACCTCGCCAAACATGAAATTGCTAAGGAATGTGCAAAATTATACTCAGGCATCGGACTGTTAAAGTTCAACCAAATAAAACACTTGGGAGTCTTTAACCAAGAATCGCCGAAACCAGCTGGGTTTAGAATGGTTTCAGACAAAAGCGTCTTTTGGTGCACGGTGCACCACGGAATGCCGCCCCAGGGAGGGAGGTGTCAGTGTCAAATGCAGGTTGTTAAAACGACTCCATCCACCTTTACATATCCTGGTAACTGCAGGTCTCCCAAAAATGTTGTCAACTGGCAGTGTGGGAGATGGAGGGCGCCTCAGCTTGCTGTGCAGTAACAGGTAAGCAAGGGCTCTAGGTTCTTGCCCTCTCTTGCTATTACGCCTCCCTCCCCAACCTGTCTGGCCAGCCTGTCCCATGGGCCAGCTCTTCGGTGGGTATTTGCCCACAGGGAAGTTCATCAAGACCACTAAGGCATTCCCCACAGCCCAGTTAGCACCTCTGCAGAGGACAGTAACTTTGGAAATACTCCCCTATAGGCTGATGAGGCTTCCCATAATACAAGTATTTGCAGTGTATTTTAAAGACGTACATGCAAAAAATAAGAGTTCTGTTTTGCCCTTGTTAATTAAGGCAGAAGTTAACAGAATCATCAACACCGTTCCTTCTCCGCAGCCCAAGGACAGTTGCAACACCAAAGCTTTGGCCGCAGTGGCGTTGATCCCTTGTGAAATGGCATTTCTCGCCCATAAGGCTGCTGCCTAAACACAAGCCACGTATTTATTTCCGCTGCCATCCACCTATCTGTCCAGTTATCTTCTTTTGTTTCATATGTTTAATTTTAAACCTAATGTCAAAACTCCAAGTAAAATGAAATACATTTTGTTTAAAATACTCTGGGCAATTTTTATAGAACATCCTTTTGAAAAAAAAAAAAAGTGCAGAGATCAATTTTTTTAAGTCCATCCCGCAGGCACCATCATTTAATTATGAGTGAGACATAAATTATGCATTTACACATTGTTGCATTTTCTATAAAATGGTGTGGAGATTTTTTTTTGTAGTTTTTGGAACTCTCTCTTTCTTCCTGAGGGCACTTTGGAGGAAAAAAAAACCTGCTGTGGGCTATACATTGATGAAAAAATTAGCATTTATCAGTATAACACCATTATGAGACCAGCATGGCACTAACATACACAAAATCTAAATCTATTTTTCTGCTTAGACTTAGGAAAACCTGAAAGACTGTGATCTCACCAGGCAGAAAATGTCTCCTTGCAGTATAAGCACTGAAGGTAATTGGGCAGAAGCAAATAATTTGCATATAATTGAACAAGAAATAATAAAAAAAACACCCCAGCAAACAGATGAGCCAGCACCGAAAGGCCATTACCTGCACTGAATTCAACCGGCAGTATCCGTTCAAAGGAAACCTAATAACATGGGTAGGGTCCTGATTCCAGCCTGCGTTTACGGAGTTGCACATGACGTCCCCGGTCTCTGGGAAGATCTCTTCTATTAAAGCTTTCTCCCCGCTCAATGCAATTCTTTCCCCCAGATCTGGAGTCACTCTTACGACCAAGCAGTCACAAGGCTGGAAATGTTTCCTTTGTTCTTTCTCTTGTTTCCATCGCTCAAGTTCCTTAATCATTGGCTGCAGCTGGTAATACTTTGCTTCTTCATATAAAAGATTAAAGTCCTGGGAAAAAAAAAAAAGAGAGGGAGAGAGAGAAACTAGAAATGCTTATAGTTCTCTTTTAAAAATGAGTATTGTTCCTGTTTGACCTACTTAGGCTTATGTATTGTCAGCAAGAGTGCAAAGGCAACAGGTATCCACATACTTTGTCTTCATCTGACACCTACACAGAAAACCACACGGTGTTAGTGTTGAATCTATTTGAGCTGACCGTGAAGTTCCCATTGCACTGAATTATTCTTTCATTTATTATCCCACAAGCTCAATGCCAGAAGGATTTACTTTTGGATTAAGAAATCAAAATAACTGGCTGCAATAAGCAAAGCCTGCTGATGTAAGAGGAGATGTCCTGAGCCCTAATCTTCACTCTTGGCCTCAGATAGTCACTTCTGATCTTACAACAGAAGATCTCGGGCTTCACTGTCACCTCTCACACACATATTATGAGATGGAGATGTCAGTTCAGCTTCACTTCTCACCTGTCTTTGCCGAGTCTGAAATTCAGCTGCAGCAGCTCAGCTGTTCCCTGTGTTTCATGATTATTCATGTATTTAAAGGTACTTTCAAGCCTGGTAAATTATACGGAGGTAATGACCATCCCACTGGCTGGGAGCTCAGCTGTGCACTCCAACAGCTTAAAAGAAACAGTTCTTCCCAGCCATTTGTCCATCACCTCACGTGGGCTTTGGGCAATTCAAATTCCCAATTTGATCCAATTCCCAGTTCACTGATTGAGATGTCTTCTGCACGTCCTCATGAATAACTTTTAATCAGATTTCCAACAGATCTTCCCACCTCAGCTTAAATGCATGACACTACGTTGAGGTAAAGGGTGTCAGCAGCCCCCCAGACCCGAGGAGGCAGCAGTGCCCATCAGACCAAGCCAGAGAAGAAAGGGAGGGGGAAGCACCCAGGGACGGTTTGCTTACACCGGCCCCACCGCCTCCTTCAGCCTCCTGAAGGGAAGAGAAGCAGCAAGAGCACAGCACCAGCTCCTCTCTCCAAAGACCTGCCGTTTGCTTTCCTGGCTCTTACGCCTGTTTACAGATGGAAATGCTGCACCGCAGGTACGGTACGTGACTTTTGTGGAGTATGCTGTAGGTCAACACCTGGACATAAAGGCCAGTTCTCCACCACTGCAATGAAATGAAATGAAAAATCACAACAGTGAAATGACGGGAATCATTTAGGCTGGAAAGAAGGGCATGACAAGAAGTAATCAAGAAATGGGCACCAAAATTACATGAAAAATAACGGCAGCGCTGCTGCTCCAGGACTTAGGGAAAAGGGGGAATCAAAGGCCAATGAATGTGCAGCACGAAAAGATGCAACTTCATAGTGGCTTGGAATTAACCTGTAAAATCTATTGCTGCAGGATATTATTGAACCAAAGCAGTTAGCGGTGTTCAAACTTGGCACCACAGACCCACTGCCGGTAGTGGAGAGGTGCTCCTTCACCCCAGGGCTGCCTACAGCCTGGAGATGTATGAATATTCACAGTGACACCAGCAAGGTTATCAGGTTACAAAAGGGACATCCCATCCTTTACATCTCTTTGATGTCTGTTAAGGCTGGGACAATATGCGCACCACTAAGGGAGGAAAAAAGGACGGTTGAAAGAGAGAAATGAATGGTAAGAGCAAGTGGGAAGAAATGAGGGCAACAAACACACTCATGGGAAGGAGACGGAAGATACGGAAGGAGACGGAAGATAGAGGGCATGGTAATGTTGGGTTGACGGTTGGACTCGATGATCTTAGAGGTCTTTTCCAACCTTAATGATTCTATGATTCTATACAAAACAACAGGAAGATTAAAGAAGAAGCCTCGACGGAAGGTATTTTCCCCCCCTTCCC